TGTGTGTGTGTGTGTTTTCTATGTAAACAGTTCAGTGTTCTGTAATAAAAACTCGCTGGCTTGGTTTTCATGATTTCTATAACATTCCAGATAATTCCCATGACCAAACACACACACACACACACACACACACACACACACACACACACATTCCTTTTGTTTGTTCAGAGTGTAGCACCTGTGATAACCTGTTATCACGTGATAACACCTGATTTGCATTTTAGCATCCACAACATGTAAACACACTGTTGTGGTTCCTAAAGGCGGCCTTGTTTTGAATTGAAATCTTCCTCTGTAATTATAAAATACATATACAGACGTTGGGCTTATATTTTGTTAAAAAACTGTTAGAATTAAGCTTCTTTTAAAACTGCAGCTGATCCCGATCCCTTAACCTCAACCTTAAAAAAAACTGAACTACAGGAGTTGATGATGTCAGTCAGCCCTTACAATACAGGACAGATTAATCATTTGAGTTAAAAGTACATTTATTCAGTTGGTGTGTTACACTACAGACCTCCTCCTGTCGGGTGATGGTGGTCTGCCGCTGCTCCAACATGGCGAGCAGTTCTGAGATCTTCAGCTGGAGACTCTTCTCTGAGGACGACTTGGTGGTGGTGGTGGTGCTAATCTCTGTCTGGATCTTCGTTATCTGGGACTGGAGAAAGGACGGAGTGAGAAGAGGGACAAAAGGACAAAGTATGAAATGAAAACCTTTTAAATTAAAGCTCTTCTTACAAGACCTGTTCTGCAAGAGGTTATTGTTTTTTGTCTTTTTTGTCCTGAGGACATTTTTTTGGGGACTTTGTGATTGTAATTTGAGGCTATATATTGCACATATATTAATCTGACTTCACTGAACATGCAGAGGGCTTTACAATCTGTGCAACAATCAAAATAACTCTTTTGCAGTGCACCATTCAATAAACATTTAGCAGTCTTCATAAGGGTGTTACCAAAATAATAGTGGTAGGATTTGTTAATAACTGAGCTACGAATAACTACGGTTGCCTGGAATGTCCTTACTGCTGCAGGGGTTTGGCAATACATTGAAATATTGCTCAAATTAATGTTAATCATTGTTGCCTTTTCATGGAGCTACATGAAGTTCCCAAGGATATCCAGAGAATTTACAAATCATCCCGAGGGGGACGTGAATGTCTGAATCAGATTTCATGGGAATCTATCAAACAGTCTGGTTTCATTCTTACCCGCAGCCTCTGGATCTCCTCGTCTTTTTCTCTTTTCATGGAGCTGAGCTGGTCCTTGTACTGACGGGACAACTCCTCTGTCTTGATATGCAGGGTGGTGCTGTTGCCTTGGCCGGCCAGCTGAGGAACAAAAGAAAGAAGATTTTCATACTATTTGAACAGTTTGCTATAAACCTGTACCAGTGATCATATGTACCGCTAATGCTTCTTTCAAATACTCCTTTCATCTTTGTAGAAAGTTAGGTCGAGTTTGCACATGACAGAGCAATTATTTCTTTTTGATTATTGACTTTAAAACATCATGACAAACATGCAAGAGCTTTTGTTTGAATCCTCATTTGGATTGATTTATGTCATCAAAATGGCTTGTAACTGCAATCATTGCTCAAAAAGCCAAACAGTTTTAACTGCAGGCTACCTGCACCTGCACATTGTTTCCAAACCCTCAATCAACATATTTTTTTATCATGTATTTATATTTTCATTCACTGTTCTACATGGTCTAAGCATGAATCCTCACAACTGCGTAATCAAACATGTTAACTACAAGGGATCTGTCCATGAATAACTTTTAGGTGGTGTTAAGGTGGCGTGTTACCTTCTGTCGGAGCATTTCGTTCTCCTTCTCCAGCGCTCTCATTCTCCCTTCCAGCTCTTTAACCTTGAACTCGCGGCTCGAGTCGTTGTTTCGGGTGCTCATGAGCTGGCTCTCCAGGGAGCGCTGGGAGGCGCTGGTTTCCTTTAGAGACAGCTGGAGAGGGATGAGACAGACACAGAGAGTCAGAAATGCAGATGGACACGCAAAGCTTCACAAATCAGCATTTGGAGAGGCTGATCTGTGTAATACGACAGTCCTGCAATAAATCCTTCCTTTGTGAAGGTTATAATGTTCAGTCTTTGTTAAAACTGTTTCAGTTTCAAGTGTCTGTTGATTATTTTTCAGTTATTCGATTAATCGTTTGATCTGTTTTGAAACTGTGAAAACATGCCAAACACAACTACCCAGAGCCTGAGGTGACTTCTTCAAATGTCTTGTTTTGTCTGACAAAAGTCCAAAAGTTATTCAGTCTACTATGAAATATGACAAAATCGCTATACATTCTGGTCTATTGTAGAACAGATCATTAATTTGAGAGAGAACAAACACACATTTAGGTGTACTGTACCTGGAGCTGTCTGTTGTTTTCTCGGACGGCCTCCAGGAGGCAGTCATACTGCCGAGCCTGGTCTGCTTTAAAACTCAGATCTCTCTCCAACGCCTCCTTCTCGCTCTCCAGACGCTGTGAGACAGACAGACATCATACCTTCATGTTAACGGCAGTAAGTTGGTTAATAAGTGGATCAATCACATTTTGTTTAATTGTTGATTGCTGCACTTTCTGAATTTGGATTGGATAGCTATGTTTTTGTTTCTTTTTGTTGTAAAAGATGCTGTTCAGGAATGTAAGCGCACAATAGAACTGACTCCACCAAACTGTACTAACACTGGCAATGATAAGCTGTTATTATCTGGCCTGAAGCCTGTACATGTCTGGTGTAATATAAAGCATTTAATTAGCTTGCACTGAGAAGGGAAGCGCTCATATAATGGGTTTTGCAAGTTGTGGGGACATACTGTTCTGGATCTGGATGTAACAAAACATCCTGATGCATTTGGTTGTTGGTGTTCAAATGCATTAAAGAAGGCAGGAACAGAGAATATCTTGCTTTCAATGTGCTTTAAAAATATCACTTGGTACTGATATCAGAATTCTAGGATCAACACTAAGTGTAATATATAAATATCTGGTAGAAAACAATTAAGTAAATTTATAGAGTAGTACTCAAGTACTGCAATTATGTTGTGTGAGGTAGTTGTACTTTATTTAACTATTTACATTTTATGTTACTTTGTATTTCTAGTACTTTACAACACATTCTGACTTCATAATTGCACACCATTTATTTTACAGCTATAGTTATTAGTTACTTTGCAGATAAGGAATTTAAAAATATACAACTTACCTACTTCTTATGCAGTAACTGAAATGTACATCCAGAACATTCATGCACTACTAAAGGTAATCTAGTAAAATACTTTACATACATTTAGCTGAAAAAAAAACTGCAGATTTTATTACTTTTGCTTGAGTAACTAAAGAACCACTGTAATTTTTTATTTTTTTTTATTTATCTTTGTGGTATTTGTATCCAGGAATGCCAGGTTGGGATGATCTGATTGCTCCTAAACGTTTGGTTTCTTTTCCGCAGTCACCATGGAGTTAAGCTGGAGGCTACGGCTTCTTTTTAAGTTGCAATTATAGTTAAGGTTGTAAAAGTTAGCTGCTGGTTCTCACAGCTGCACGCTTAACTGTAATCGTCCCGATTCACATTCAAACCGGATATTTAACCTCATGTTGGAGGGTGCAGCGTTTAAATATAAAAAAAAAAATTATGATGACAAAACTAGACTCAACCAAACTCTTTCAACATCACTTCACATAGCTCTTACCCGCAGGTCCTCAGACATATGGAGGAGCTCCTCTCTCAGACTGCTGAAGGTGGACAGCAGTAGACGCATGCTCTTATCTGCAGTGAGACGAGTCTGACACAGAAAGGGAATGAACACATTAACAACCTGCAGTCAGATACCAAATCTCTGAGAAATAACATTGTAGTCATTTTCAGAGATGAAGCCTGTTGTTTTAGTCATAAATAAATAAATGCTAATGCTTCATTTTAACCGCCTCTCTCTATTAAGTAATAAGTAATAAATACTCTATAAGTATTCAGTGGGTCATAACGCGCTATGATGTAAGCAAATATAAGAAATGGTTTTATGGTTTTCAACATTATTATATATAATTACATATTGTTATATATGAACACAGCTATGTCATACTGTATTATCAAGCATTTATTAGTTAGTTAGTTAGTTAGTGTTTATAAAGCAGTTATGAGCGCTCTCAGGAGCAATGGAAGAGAATGAAGCTAAATGGTGAAAATACAAATGTATAAATGCAGACATAAATAAATGTGTATATAGAATGTTGTATTATGGTCAATGGGGAACTGTGTCGTAATTAAACAATATTTTATGAGAAAGAAGATCATAATCTCTCACTCACCTGCAGCAGGTAGCGGATTTGTTGTTTGGTCAGTTCAGTGGCTCCTTTGGGAAGCAAAGCCTCCACCTCCTCTCTCTCAACCTGAACACATACACAGACACAAACACATGAATGCAAAAGCCCCGTGGAAATAAAATATGATTCCCTCAGATTTGTGTTTCTGTCATTTGTCAAGAACATGAAGTGCAGACAAAGAAAAGTACTGGCTGCATCATGTTCTATTTTTTTATCTGAATTCTTCTTGTATTCTTCATAGGATATCACGTTACACTGAGGCTCTAAGTTGACTTTAAACACAGATGAAGTTCTGTCTGCTTCGCTTAGTTTAGATTTATTTATCAGATATGTGTGATGCTGGTTTGTTTCTCACCTTGTAATCATTGCTGAGATCCAGCTGGTGTTTCCTGTAACACACAGAGAGGAAAGACAAACAATGAGGACGGCAGCATGACTGGAGAGGTCTACGAGAACCACTGATTGTATCTCACATTGACTCACACTTCTTACTTTAAAACAGTGGTTCACGCACCACACCGGACAATTTTTAGCAATCATCAACAACGATTGGGAAACCAAAACTAAGACAAAAAAGGATCTAAGTTGAATTTTAGGGAAATAAAAGTCACCACAACAGTGTCCAAACCACAGTTTGAGAATCACTGCTTTAAATCAACAGGATTTTAATCAGACACTGAGAAGAGGTGTTCTATGTATTCATCACATTGTGATAAATAGACAGATATTCTTATTTTTGAGTTGTTCCCTTTTTCTCTTGGGGTAATTTTTGCCATAGTCAGTCTCTCAGTACTTTCCAACTGAAGACGGAAATCTTTAAAATGAGTGCAAATATGTAGTTTCATTTTCATAAAAAGGCTGAGTAATGTTGTGAAACAGCTGGCTACTGTAGTTTTAAAAAAAACGGTACCCACACAGGAGGACATAGTAAATTTGTTGGGAACTATTTTCAGCCGCGGATTAACAACACATTTGGTGCAGTGGTTCTTAACCTGGAGTCATGGTGGGGATTCCCAGAAAAATGGGGAATTATTTAATTTCACTACTATTTAATGTACTAAAAGTTAGCCCAATGATAGAATGTATAAGAATGAGTACAGTACGACACTATCCACTGTTAAGCTGCCACTATACAGTATGCAGTTATGGAAAAACAAAATCTTATCAGAGAGGGATCCCTGATGGGATTTGTTGACCATAAGAAAAAATATCACCAGATTTAATTTTTTTAACAGCCAATACAATGGCTACACATGTGAACTTGTACAAGTATATTGTTGTACTGTGATTTAGAGCCTCACATGTCGTAGGTGGTTGATAGAAAGGTAAGAAGATGATAAAGAATACGATTAGGCTCTCATGGTTAATCTCCCTCACACACACACACGAATCACCTGGGTGGTAGCTCGGTGGACAAAAACCCTCACTGTCACAACCTGCAGTGCTGAGTTGTATCTCTCCGTCATTGGCTGCATCAGACCACCTGATCTACAGCTTATCGCATCATCCCTTTTTTCCCACCCAGGTTTCCTGTAACTACCCGCCTAATGCAGTACTTTCAGGTGACGTAACCGGTGTTCAATGGCAGTAACTGGGAACGGATGACTACTAATACTACTTTTCAATACGATTGAACATGATGATTAATGGCGCACCTGCAAGAGAAAGAAAACATAAACTGAAGAAACTACATGGAACCGACCGAAACTCGTATTGTTGCACCTGTTGGAGCATGCCGCTTATGGTACTAATCCAAGCCACCAAACCCAGCGTCTATCACCATGACAACATTCCACGGCTATATGCCAGAATGACTTCATCACATAAAAGTCTGTTATTCAATGTGATGAGATATGTCTGTGGTCAGTTTCATCTAATATTTGTTTCTAGGAGGATCAGTGCATTATGTTTGAGAGTCAGTTTAACAGTGTTTAATGTCTGAGTAAGATATGCAATTAGCTGCCAGGTTATTTACATACTTAAAACTAATGCAGTGTAATACAACAGCCCTGTTTTAGTGTTTATTCAGTGTTATGGCAATTTTGGCAGCTACAGTTTTAGCGCTGTTCAATTATACCAAAGTGTTTCCAATGTTGTTGTTGTGTTGTTATTAGATGCACAAGATTTAAAAGTAGTAAAAGCAGATGTGGTCACGCTATATTATTTCTCATCATGTTTTGTCCATTCATTTTAATGCTGGTAATAATAAGGGTGTGTCTTTTGGCAAAATGTAACATTTAATAACTAAGTAAACAAATGCAAGCAGTATGTGTTAATCTCACTTGACCTGATCAGTTAATTAAGTCCAAAACAGTTGTCCCAAGGCTTAAAATTCAGCAAATGACAATAGGAAAAGAGAATATAACAATTTAGGTACAGTATCCCACACAATATCTGCAGTCTTGATCTCAAGATAGATATTGTATTGCTCTATTGACCAGCTTTGCAGTAATCTTGATTTTGCTATTTATATTTATTCTCTGTGGCAAAAAATGCTACTAGAACAACAATTAATACACCTATACAATAAGGAAAACGGAGGAAAAAAGTGATCTGTGACTCTAAACGTCCTCCTCTGGACTCTAAAAAGTGTCCAGTGAGCTAAGAAATTATTGACAGTAATAACTATCTTATCTCACAGCAAACACATTCAATCATGAATTCCTCTCTGATGCCATAACATGTCACATTTAAGTGTTAATGCAGGCAGTACTATGAACTGAATCACACCTCTGGCATTCTGTGAACTTGAACTTAAAGCACAGTGGAAGTGGAAGAATGAGGCGTTCAAGTAGAGGCGTACAGAGTGGAAAAATGGCCTCCCTTTGCAGAAGTTTGCTTGTACATGTAAAACTATTTTGTTGCTGACGCTCAAGTGTTTCATATCAAGATTTGTGGTGGTGGTAGTCGACCCTAGATACACGCATGATGTCTGAAAGTATGAAACTATTTGTCTTTCTATGATCATTTTGCATGGACTGGGACATAATTTGTCCATATAATGCTGAAAACATGCACTTACTGTCCACGGATCTTGGACACATGCTCGGAGATGCAGGAGTGGATGTCACAGTTCTTCCTGTAAACGTCGGCCAGCAGCTCGCCGAAGTAGCGCGTGTCCAGCCTCGTGGGCTGGGGCACTTCCCTCAGCTCGGTCTTCACCTCCGTCCTGGAGATCTTCTCTATCACCGGCGGCGGCTTCTGCTGTATGATGTTGACAATCTCCACCTCTTCCACCTCCACTACCTCCTCCTCCTCCTCTTCTTCCTCCTCCTCCTCTTCCTCCTGGAAGAACACGACAGAGACAACAGGTGTTATTGTTTCCAGTGTTAAATATAAATTAAAGTCCAAATTCCACCCACTGATCTATGCACTATTCACTCACAGATTTACAGATGACATATAATACAAAATGTCATTCAGATGTAAATATGTGATGTTTTACTCATTAGTATGATTCTCTGAAGAAATTAAATTTGGTGCAACGAGTAAATCCCCTCCACAGCATCCTGCAAAACAGCTGCCAACATGTAGCAGACTGACTGGCACCTGCACAGAAAAAAACAATTACATATAATTTTCTACAATCAAGAAATGTAGTTGCTTAGCTCCCTAACATCCTGTTTCATGCTTATTGTGAAAAAATAATTACAGACATCCTTAATAATGATACTTCACAGTTGTGATTCAGCTTTAAAGAACAACATGTGTTTTTTTTTAAAAACAAAACAGGAGTAGAGGCTGCTGAAGACTTTTCTGTGTTCCGCTGCTTTTTATTTAATCAAAATTGAGGATTTTGGTTAATATCTTACACCGTACTGTAACTTTTACTCTCCTGTTTAACCTTGTTTTTATTCTCTAAAATTGTATTTAAATGTTTTTTTTATATTGCCTTGTGTTTCTTTTACATTTTGTCTTGATGCCTTTTATGTTTTATGTAGAGCACTTTAAACTGACTTTGACCTGACTAAATGCTCAACAAAAATAAACTTGCCTTTCCTTTTAGTGCATCTAAATATACATATTATTTAATACTACTAAATTATTATCTTTGTTATTATTTTCCAATCATTTTACTACTATTTTAAAATTTGTTTGCATTCTATTTAGATTATCTATTACAGTAACCATCATTGGCAGAATGATTTAACATGCAGCATGCTATGATGCAAATCTCTTTATTTTTGTTGCACTGAATGCATATTTCTTTATAAGCAGGTTTTACATCATCATTTTTATACTGTAGATATATTAATGAGAGGTTAGACTTTTTGAAACCTAAAAGATAATGGTCTACAATAAAGTAGACATCATAAACAAAACATGTAAAATTACTGATATGGCTACAAAGTTGAACGTGCACTATTGTCTAAAAATAAAAAATAGATAATAATAAAAATATCATTGTAAGGTGTAGCATTATATTATATTATATGTCATGTCATATAGTTTAACGCAATCCGCCGCAGTCCATGCTGCGCATACACGTGTTGTAAACCAAACACACCCATCACCTCCTTTTATCTACATGTAACAACAGAGTCGAGTCAAACAGTTGTTGCATAACCTGTTATCTGACACTGAGCTGCCCGCTATGTGTACTCTTCACACAGAAAACACTTTTACTCTTTGCATACACCTGCCTGTCGCACTCTTTGTATACCGACACAGGACAAACTTATGTTACTTATGTTCATCTTAGTCTTGTTTCAGATTCTTTTCTTCTATTTTTAGTTCCTACGATGAAAGAAATAGTCGTTAAAAAACACTTTAAACATAACTTCTTGTCAGATACTCCCACCAGACCTTGAGTACCACGTTATAGCAACAAGATGACCTCATCTTCAGCTTATCACCAGAGGGATAGCGCTAAAATCTGATACAGAGTAATGAATGAAGTTTGGCAGTTTGTTTTTTTGTGGAAGACAAGTTGCTTGCCCTGTGCTTGTTAAACCACATTTTTGGCCTCATTTAACGCTCACGTCTTAAGGAGTAAACTGTATCCAAAAGGTGCAGCTCTTTAGGGTGTGCGACTACAACGATGCCTCGGGCCTGTACGACACCCTCCCTACTATCCCACCAAATGCTAGCAATCATTAGTGTTGCTGGACTAGTTATGAATATAATAATGGCTTTCTAATCATTGCTTTGAGTCTATGATTTAATGATTTAATGATTATGTCAAGTCGAGTAGCAGAGATTCTGTGTCCCACTAAGAATCTGCTTTATATTATTCCAAACATGTATTTATGATTTATGATGCAGGTTTTCATGCCAAAATTATTTATTTTATGTAGAAAGTAACAGTAGTATTGTTATATTCTAATATTTAATATGAAGTTTCTCTACGAAACTAGTTTGCGAGTATAATCTTTTTCTTACTGCATGTAAAATGGCTGCCATTTTGTGTATAACTTCGGACATAAATCTGAAAATTAAATCATTTACAGTTTAACTTACACATTACGTAAAAAACTATATATACAGTGTATCAAGGAAGTTTGTGCAGGGGTATTATCATCCTGAATAGAACAAGTCATCCAAACAAATTTTTAGGTTTATCTTGGACAAGAGATACAAAGTGAGACAAGGATTTCCATGGCACTAGCATGGCATACTTAAGAAATGTCAAGTACATTTTATCTGATGTGATGCATTCTTATATAACAAACAAGCTGTGGCTGTGCACAGTGGTCTAGCCAGATTCCACATTAACCCAAGGGAATATTGGGAGCCAGAATTTCCCAGCAGGTGAAGTTTACACTATTGTGCCATTAGAGAACCACCAAGAACCACAAAGAGCCCTGCAGCATGTCAATATCATGTTCAGCTTCTGTTCATTCCACTCTGTGGTCATTTTTTGATACTGTAGTCAGTGACGGTGATGTAATGTATTACCATATTACCATATTGAGGTTTTTATATTTTGTCTATACACAGTAGCATACCACAGGGGGGCAGAATATCAAAAACAACTCTAAAAAACAGTTACAGTTTAATTTAACAAACAAAAATACCAGCTTGTTTGTGGTTCCAGCTTCACCAATGTGCATCTCAGTTCTGTATCACTGTAAACTGAATATCTTTTCTCTTCGGAACTTGAAGATGTCACCTGTTTCCTCTAGGAAATCCTTACAGTATTAGCACTATCATTACTATCAATACTTTATTACGTAATCGGTAGGTGCAGCCTTACTCTTAACGTGATGCAATCAAGTGCAACACCTCCACAAACTACAAACCTCAAAAGTGACCAGAGAGTTGAGTCAACCCCTCTCTGACAGTGTCAGCAAAAACGGAACATTATAAGCTCCATATACCAGCTTTATAACATTAGTGTTGTATCTGTAGTTTTGATCAGAAAAAGAAACAGTTCAGATGCCAAAGTTCCCCATTTAAGTTGTTTTGAACCGTTTTTGAGTACCATGGCCTTTTGCACTTCCTGTAGCCACCACCCACGCAGCAGAACCAATAGGAGAATGATGAAAAAAAATAATGTCACGACTATCAGGAAACACTGGCACAGGAATTGAGTTTTAGTATCGTTTTCATTTTTAAAAAGTGAAGGAAATACCACAGACAGGAAGAACAACAAGGGTAGTGAGGAGGCTGAAAGGCCTGAAAGATCACAGGTTAGATTTCACTGAACTCCAACAAGCTCAGTTATTGTGAACTGTGCCGTACAGCAGGAACTGACAGTAACAGAGGCTGTTAGGAATTTGATGTCTGCCGAAAACCTGTCATGTTGTTCAGGACAAACGCCAGGACAAATAGGTAAAACAAGTTGTTTTGGACTTTGTTCCTTGAGGAAAAACTGTGTTTTCACTCTTCCAATACCTCAATCAAACTGGGTCAGACACAACTAAACACAGACATCATGCGGGGACCCAAATTCAGTAAAAATTGTGGGCTTGCCACAAACAACATCCCTCAAGAGACGAACGTATCTCAATGCTATCTTTAATTTTCATAAAGTTCAAACATTTATACCCTGTAATGCTGAATATTCTCATAATAAATGTGATTTAAACATATGGGCCATGTTGCAGTGTATGAGCCACTGAAACGGCATAAAAACAAGAAATGGACTAAAAGTGTATTTCATACAGTATAAATTACACACCTGTGGAGTTACATTAATCAAGAGATCCAGATCTCCCAGTATTTGCACTTAATTTAGCACTGAAGCAAGGCACTCAAATGACACATACCTCTGGTATCTGACAGGGCAAGGTAGTAAAGTCAAACCCTGTCTGACTGCCGTGTGAAACATGGAGAGAATGGTTTATGATCCAGCAGAGCTCAAAGGTCACGGCAAGACCGAAGGCGCTTTCAGGGCCATTATTTATGGTGTCGCACATTAAATACAAACAGAGGATTTAAGGGTGCAACAGTATGGACAAGGACGGTATGTATGTGATGTCTGTGATCACATGGAAGTGGGTGTGTCTCAGTGCTACAAGGCTGTGGCTGCCACAGTAACATGCCTGTCATTCCTGACAGAGAAAGGGAGAGTTGAGACTTCAACTTCACCAGTTAACGAAGTGTTCAAGTAACAAGGTCTTTTACATAATTGGTAAATACACAAAAAATGGCTGAATATTTGTCAGTTATCTAATGAGAACTATGTACATGGATGGCCAGCCTTTCCTTCCAACACAGAAGCATGTTTCTAACCTGGAAGCAAGTAAAGAAGCTAAATAATAGGGGTTGGAAATATGGAAAAAATCTTCTATCATATTATGTAACTCTATAGTGCAATATCAGTATTAATTATTATATAGTTAATTCAACTGAGAAACACTTAAAACCTGATAACTTATTTCTGTTATTCTAATTTAAATTTTTGCAATATAAACTCCCCATGAACAACAACAACAACAATTTTGAGGCAACAACCAATAGAAATGTGTGTGTAATGTTGACAGAAGGTGGCCCTAGAAGACAGCACAAGGCGTATCAAAAATAGAAGAGTACACCCTCTGGGAAGGAAGGAATGTGCTTTGAAACCTTTCATGCTGATTTTGCAGTTACTGGTGTTTGACTTAACATTTTCTCCAACCAAAGTTTAGGTCAATAGTGATAACTGGATGATAGTGCTAGAGGAAAGCCCCAAAATAATTAGGATTTGTCCTCTGGGAGTCATATCAACATAAAATTCCAATCTACAGTTACAGATGTCTTGCTCTGGAAAGTTTTGGATGGACAAACAATCACCAATAAGGAAAAACTAGGAGTTACTGTTTCTGCTACATTTTATCAGAAAAAAAAGTTTACAATCCAAC